ATATTATTACATAATTAATTAATTATATATCTACCTACTATTAATTAAAATTGTGTATATTTGTTCCCATTATCTTATTCTTTTTACAACGGTTTAAAACTTTGAACTCCTTCTCAATTCTATTCTTAACAATTATGGGGAGAGCCGGTTCCGGTATTGGCTTTTTGCCTCATCTAATCTGTGTATAACAAAACCAGATCTCATATAGCATGTTAATGTGTAGCCAGCATGCTATCTTCTTCTTACCCACATCTTTAATATTCGATATCGTAATTATTTCCTCGTATGTCCTTGGAGAGGACTCCCCTGGGTTTAAGTATGAGTATACAGCTTCCCATATAATCTTACTGCTTTTACAGTTTACCCCAAAATGCTCATTAGTTTGGATTTCTTCATAGCACATTGGACAGTTGCCATTATTATTCGGTATTATATGCTTTAACCTGTATCCTAACAGTAGTGATCTGTGACAGTAATGCCAAAAGATATCCTTACGCTTATTGTTAATCTATTTTATTTTAGATCAACTCCAGAAGTCTTTATTCTTCTCATTACCATTTTCTTGCTTCTGAATAACTGTCGACAGTGACTCCTTCTTCAAAAAGAAAACCTTCTGGCACACTGTATATTCATTTTCTGGTACATTAGCAACTTTAACCTCCTCTGGTTTCCAGGACCATATTCCTAACCCATTATTCACAGATCCTTTTGCCCTTTTCCATGCTATAACAAAAGGTTTCCAAAACTCTGACCAACCCCTATTCTTGCATGGTATTTCATTAAGTGTATGTAATGCCATAATATTCTTTTTGTTATGTAATTCTACCTTTATTAATTCTCTTTCTGCCTCTGCCCAACAGTTTTTACTAGTAAATAATTTTACAAACGTAAAAAGTAGTCTAGCATCCACTAGGTCCTTTAATATTGGTGCGTTTAGGCCTCCGTATCTATATTCTTGTTGTAGGATCAAGTATCTTGAGAGAATCTTGCAGGAATTCTTAATCCAACTTCTTACAAGATTATCAATTTCTGCTAATTGTTTTCTGCTCGGTGGTGCAAGGTATGTAAGATACCAAATTTTTGACAGAACTAAAGTCTTGATTATTAAGATTCTACTCTTGATAGATAAGCTATGCTATAATAATTTTTCTAGCATATTTTTTATCTTTAATATCATTTTTGGCCAAGTATTCTTACTTATTCTATCTTGCGAATCTAACATGAATCCTAGTACTTTAACCGACTCATTGTCTGGTAATATTTTAAACTTTTTGCCTCTTGGCATTCTATATGCCGAGTGTTAGACGTTAGCAGAACCAAAACTAACTTAATTTTGTTAATTTTCGCATTAGACACGTCTTCATATTCCTGAAACATTTTGGTAATAATATCCTATTTTGCATGTGATGCTATACCAATTGTGAGATCATCAGCATAAGCCATTAATTTGAATCTTTGTTGTCTTGAATGTTGATTTAGGGCTATTTCCATTAAGTTTTTGTCAAGTGATCTAAGAAAGGGTTCGAAGGCAAATACGTATAGGAGAGGTGAGAGCGGGTCACCTTGCTTCACCCACGATTAACTCTAAAAGGTTCTGATATTATTCCTGAGTCTGCTATAAACACAGTTTGTTTCGAAAATAGTGCTCTAATTGTTTGTATAAAACTTGGATCAAAATTTATTTTTGTTAAAACCTCTTGCAAATATACGTGACTAACACGATCAAAAGCTTTTTGTTGGTCTAAAAACAATATCCAACCCTGCTATGTTTGATTAGACTGATTTCTCATAACGGACATAATATCCATCACGAATTTCAAAATCAACTTTCCTTTGATGAAGCCTTGCTGATGAATACCAATAACTTTCTGGCATAAATTATTAAGATGATTTGTTAAAATCTTCATGAATACTTTAACATCACAGTTTGTTAGAGAAATGGGCCTCTAGTTCTACACATCCTCTAAATCCTCTGATTTTTTTGGGATCAATGTTATTACATTCTTATACCATGAACTAGGCATTTTTCCCTTTTTGATCACATCATTAAAAATTTTTTTTAAATACTAAACTACTTTCTTCTAACAACTCCTTATAGAATTCATACGTGATACCGTCTGTCCTTGGGGTCTTGTTGTTGGGGAGGCTACGTATAACTTCGCTTATCTCTTCTTTCGTAATATATTTGATTAAACTCTGGTTGTCAGATTCCTCTATTTGTGGAAGACCGTCCGTTATTCCATCTATTGCCTCTTTCTTAATCGGTTCTGGTTGATATATGTGACTATAATATTCTTTAATATAGTGTAATACCTTAATAAGGTTTGACCCTCCTATATTATTTGGAATCTTAATCTTGTCTATAGCTATCGCATTATGCCTAGTCTTAAATCTAGAATAAAAGTACTTCGTTGATTTCTTCCTACTTTCGATCCACCTTGCATTAGAATGGACCTGCCATTTATCAGCTAAATTTGTAAGTTCGTTTCAAAGAATTCTCCTTAACCTTTCGATCTCTAATTGTAGGTCAGATAAATCCTTATTTCTAGCAACCTTTTTTTCTAAAACGTTTATTTTCCTATTTAGCTTTTGAATACTACTTTTTAGGGCTTTAAGTAACCCTCTAGCTTTAATCAAAGACTGGATTTTATATTTACAGTAATCCTACCCTTTTAGATCTGTGACTATTCGTATTTCCTCTACAATTTCCTTCTTTAACATTTTATTCTCAAGGCACCTATAATTTACTTTTCAATACGATGATTGTAATTCGTTTTTACGAAATTTTATCTCAGTTGCTACCATGAGGTGGTCTGAATTATCAAACTTCGTATATGTCTTTTGGCAATACTATGCATTCTGTTCATCCACGAAGATATAGTCCAACCTTGTGGCCATGGTATGTCCCCCTCTTGTCTTTTGGGAATATGTGATAAATAGCGTTTGGGAGGCTGCAATGCTAGTGTCTACCATCTTACAAGTAAGTTTCTTAAGCTTTTTCTTAGACAGATCATTATGCGGTATCATGTAACTTATTCTATTTATGTCTGGGTTGAGGTTCACATTGAAATCTCCTGCTATTATATTGATTGCATTAATGTTTTTCTTTATTGACCACCTATCAAAAAATCATATCCTTTCTTCTAGTACTGGCGGAGCATAGACATTGATAACCCAGAATAACTGTTTCCCATATTGAAATTCGGTGCAAAGTACCCTTCCTTGATGAGATTCTTCAATATTTTCAAACTTGATTTCTTTATTTCCTGCTAAAATAGCTATTCTAGCTATCTATATAGAATCGTATCCCTATTGCTGTTTCAAAAAATTCTTTGTACTATCATTAGTTAAATTTGTTTCTTGTAATATAATCAATTCTATCTTATATGTCTTAAGCAAAGTCATTGTTTTTTGGCGCTTATATCTATCATTAAGCCCTTTTATATTAAGTGTAGCGATTCTGAAAGTATTACCCTTCCTCATACTAGTATATAAATTAAATTATTTGTACCTTCAGATCTACTTTTATTCCTATTTAAACTATATATTCATTTGTTACGACCATCCTGAGATGGTCTATTACTTACATATGGCTTAGACCTACTATTATATATACTCTTCCTTATTTTAACCTTCTTGTGTGTAACTATTATGAAACCATCATCTGCTTGTTTCTCTACATTATTTTCTTGTACTTGTGCTTGTACATCTTTGTGATCTATATTCAGAACATTTATATCTGCACTATTTGTATTCATTTGCGCCTGTTAATTTTTTTTCTCTGTATCTAATTGCTCGCTTGGCTCGTCTTGCTGTACGTCCACATTTATTTTGGTTTGCTGTAGCGTGTTGTTTTGTACCTTCTGCTGATTTTTCTCATTTCTGTCTTCATCTAATATAATATCAAGGGATTCACCTTCTTGGGATAATATCTCCACATCCCTATCGGCAATATCTTGCATCGAACTACTCGACTCTTCATTATTTTCAATATTCTGCTCTTCATTGGTATCATCTCCATTTGTATTATTCCTCTCTAAATTTTCTTTTTTAAATCTTTTAGTTTCTTTATATTTTTTATATTGCTTTCTCAACTCGATTGCTTCTTTAAATTGTGAACAATCCCTTTTCAAGTGTCTAGGTTAATCACAGTAGAAGCATAGTCTAGGAGCCGCTCTCCACTCTGTTGTGACTTTTTGGCCTCATACACTCATGTACTTTGGGATTTTTTGCTCTAACTCTGGGTCCTCCGTTGTTTCGTATAAGATTATCTATTGGTCCGTACAGACCGAAGTATCTTCATACACCAACAGCTTAATCAATTTAATAGATCCAAAAACCTCAAAAGCTTACTTTAACTTGTTAGATATAAAATCCATGTCCCCAATTGAAACATTTCTCACTTTTACTACCAGGTGTGATCTTCTTAGGTTTGTGGGTATATAACCTAGTAACGATCTTCTAAAAAGGAAAATACACTCCTTTGCATAATATTGTTGTTTCTTCTCACTATTAAAAACCAGTTCTAAGTATGTTCTTTTTCCTTTAGTATAATGAGGCTTTGCCCCAACTAGAGCATTATCTATTTTATTGTACAATGTAGATATAATATCATTCATTTGTATATCGTTCATGCTACGAATGTCAAAGATGAGTGCATTATTATTCTTGGTTGTAATTTTTATCCTTGGTGTATATTTTGAAAAGGTTGCTTGCCCCCGTCTTAATTGCGTAAAGAAACTGGTCCATTTCCTGGGGGTCTTAATTGGTTTATTTGATTGTGCATCTGGTGCTACTTCTTCTGATTCTAAACTGTTAATTGCATTTTGTGGCTTAGGATCTATGTCCATCACTATAATGCCCATATCATATGATACCATTCCACCTAATTCCGATTCTGTGAACTTTCTGAAACCTTCTATCTTGTCTTCACTTCTAGATGGAGTTTCAAGTGAAGACGTGTCTCTTTGATACCTCTCTTCTTCAGTCATATTGAACCAGTTATTGACCATATTTTCCTTACTCTTTAACATATTAGTTTCTGTTTATTTAGAAGCTTTGCAGGATCCAAGTTTTCTTTGTCGCCAGTTTTATCTTTCGATTTAGGGCTATTTTCGTTGGGTTTTCATCTTTTTTCACCCAACTTTTCTGTTTTTAATTCCTCCATCTTTCTTTTCTTTGTTACCAGGGCCTCTGCCCTTGGTTGGAAATATACGTCACTATAACCTTTAACTTCGCTTTCTATTTTAACACTTAT